GTAATCACGGAGTACTTCAACCACCTCTTCATGGCCGGGCATCCAGCTCACAGGGGCGACAAGATCCTTGCCTCCCTCATGCACTTCCGCTCCCAGTACAGTCGGATGGGAGGCGGAAAGCTTCCTCGGAGCTGGCGGGCCTTGAAAGGATGGAAACGATTGAGCCCAGGGCAGTCTCGCCGAGCGATGCCGTTGGCAGTCTGGTGCCGTCTCCATGGAGCTGGTGAGAATGGGCCAACTCCGCATGGCATTATTCCTGCTGGTGGGCTTGAGCAGCTACTCACGCCCAAGCGAGCTGATCAGGTGCCGTCTTTTCTCACTGGTCAGGCCCACTCGCGGCATCAACGCTCACTGGTGTCTGCTGCTCAGTCCCGAGGAACGGCCAGAAAGGTCAAAGACGGGGGAGTTCGACGACAGCATCCCCCTCGACTCCTTCTACATGAAATCTTGGGCCCCTCCACTGTACGAGCAGCTGAAAAAGGGGCACCCAGAATCGCCACTGTGGGACTTCGATTATTCCCTCTTCTCGAGCATGTTCTACCGCGCTTGCCGAGCCCTGGGGCTCACCATGACACCGTACCAGCTGAGGCACTCGGGGCCGTCGATAGACCGGGCGTTGGACAAGCGAAGCTTGCTGGAGGTTCAGAAACGAGGAAGGTGGAAAAGCTTCAAGAGTGTGAGCAGATACGAAAAATCGGCTCGGTTGGCAGCGAACTTCGGGATGCTGCCACTCGTCCTGCAGCGACACTCCCTCGAGGCCGAGTCTCAGCTAGGGGACGTGATGTTGGGGCGGCGCCGCGCCCTACCACCGCCTACCGTAGGCACAGCATAGGCCAGTACATTCTGGATCTGTTCTCCGGATGCGGTGGAGTCGCTCGTCAATGCCGATGGCTAGGATACAAATGCAAAGAGTATGATATTTTGCACGGGGCGGCGTGTGATCTTACGTCGCCCGCAGTACTTCGTCAGATCAGGCAAGACGTCAAGGCGGGGAAGGTCGCAGCGGCCATACTCGCCCCGCCGGGTGCCTCTTTTTCGTTTTCCAGGGATCGCACCAAAACACTCCGGACTATAGACCAGCCTTGGGGAGTTAGCCCTCACTTGCTCAGCAACAACGAGGCGGCTTTGCTTGATCACGGCAATCAGTGCTTTAGGTCTGCTTTCAAGATAGTGGGTTGGCTGCAGACGGCTGGCGTTCCCTGGATTTTGGAGAATCCTCTGCATTCGAAGTTTTGGTGGTTACCGCCTGCTCAGAAATATTTGCGACATCCGGCATGTAGTTCAGTCATTACCGATTTCTGCCAGCACGGATGTCCTTGGCGCAGACGCACCCTACTCTTGTGTGGACACTTGGATACCCAGGACTTGGATCGCTTGGATCGTCGATGTGCGGGCCCCATCTGCTGCCGTACACACAGGCCTCATTTTCGACGCACTTCACGCGCTCTGGCAGGACACGGCGGGCCTCTCATCGACAGGTACCCGGTCGCTCTCTGCCGACATCTCGCTTTTGCTTTGACTGCGCCCTCCCGCTGTGCTCCCACCCTTTGGTGAACATTCCTTTTGGGACTGA